ATTTAACCGTTGTACTATTCTATACTTGTACTCGTTTGTCATGCCCCGTGTTGCCGGGACGCGAAAGAGTTCGGAATCGGAGATGCGGGCGCGGCAGGGTATGTGACGGTGGGTAGGAATGTAGTAAAGTTTGTAGCCGCTACTTGTATTTAATATATAAAAAGCTTTATTTATAACCGTACTTAGACGTGTTTAGTTATCCCGAGTTCTTATAGTAATGTGCAAACTGCGTGTCGGTTGCGTATGTCGCGGCGAGAGACCGAGGTGTTAAGTCTATGGCAGGCGATCTTCTCCGCTCTTTTATAATATTGTGTAGTCTTGTCGGAAGGGGTGCCTGGCGACAAGGAGATTACCATATTTGGTAATTATTTGGTGTGGTTCGGCTCGAAGTCCGAAATGCGGAATGTGCAAGGTGATGCTTAGCGCAGCAGTTGCACATCCGCTTCCTCGTTGTAGCGCAGTCGAAACGGTTCCTCCTGAAGCGTTCCGACGGCGCTAATACTGTTCGCGATTATAACATATTATTTCTCTATTATTGTTGCTTTTTTATAAAAAATAAGCAATACAATTTTAAAATGTAAACATTTTTGTTTATTCTGTACATGTGTACAATTATTGCACAATATAATTATCTTGACTCCTCTGCAGCAGTTTTACATGGTGTGTATGTGAAACTGTCCTATTTAATAACGTACATATGGCCTTTAATAAAATTAAATAGCCTATCTAGGAAACAGTATCTGCGCGCAATCTGCCGTCAGTCTGACGTCAGAATCTGTCGACAGGCTCTGCGCGCAGTCTGTCACCAATCTGTCGTCAGAGACTGCTAAAACAGTTTCTGTGTGCAGTCTGTTGCCATTCTGTCAACAGACACTGTTGACAGACTCTGCGTAAAATCTGCTCGCACAGGTTTGGCTATCTGGGTACAACATACGAGTGAAAAAATTTTTTATACTCTGTTCTATCTGGATATATATTTATTTTCGTACTACTTGAAAATTATATATATAACAAAGTTTATATAATGCTAAGATTACTAATCAACAATTGTTTAATAATAACTTATTATACTATTATATTGACTTTATGGAGTTCTTAAAATATACGATGTTCATACCCAGACTAAGGACTAGAGAACGGAATGTAAACGCTTACTTTGGGCGAGAGGAGTATACACTCAGGTATGCAGGGAGAACTGCTCGTCGTTATATTAGTTTCTACGAGCTTAGCCACATAGGCCAGTCCCACATAGAACAAAATATCTCATAGACGTATATAATATAAATCTATAAATCTATGGAACATCTATGTTTATTGAAGATGTTATCTATATGTATAATATATATAAATGTAATGTTAAGTAATATACGTATATAAGCACAAATCCATAATACATATAAAATACATATATAAAATATGTATGGAATAATGTACAATTTACAGCTAATGGATATTTCTTTGAGGTATAAACAATGTGCGTAAAATATATATATATAGTGGCATATTATTGATGTCTAATAGATGTATGGCATACGTATATATAAAAAATATATATATATATATATATATATATATATATATATATATATATA